TACCTAACATTCTCCGGTCCAATTTGTGGCTTATTTGCACCATCGGCTGTGGAGTTTTCGGTACGATCAGAATCGTCTAGACTGGAGTGGTATGTGCTCTTCTGTATAGGATCTTGTCTATACTCCGCAACGCCTCCGTTCCTAGATTGGAAGGTGAGAGAGAGAGAAATTGGCGGGTGATCGGATTGTCAGACCATATCGCCGCGACCTCTTCATCGGAAACATCATCCTCATTTGTACCGAGAAGGGCGTTTGTTTTCGCAAGAGTTCCAAAGTTGGCTACATAGCCTGAGATAAATGGTAGATCTCCCTCGGGGGCACATAACAGACTTGCCTTTCCTGTCAAAAACAAGAAGCCTTGGGCAAAGAGTAGGTTGCCCCTACTGATGTGATCGTATCTCGGCCCATAATAGAAAAGATATGAACGCACTGTTTGGGTTAAACCTTCCCTGAAAGAGACCTCGGGGTCGTGCAAATCTACCAAACTCTTCTCGATTGTTGTGTCAAATAGATAACTCTCTTGGGTATTCCAAAAATGTGTACCCGTGTAATTCGCAAGGGTCCCGGCTTGAACATATATAATTTCCCTCATCCCTAGTTTTTAGTGCTATCCCAATGGATATTGGGACCTACGTAGCACCGGTAGCAAAAGTATGAATGTGGTTGGAATGAAGATTTCGGATATTCTTCGGGCACGTAATTGACGGTCACATCACTGTGGTAACCTTGTCACGTCACCGTCACGTCCTTCGCTTACGTCTACCCTTACGCCTCGAGTTAAAACTCGAAATATCTGTTTCTCCGAAGTGTGAATTGCTTACGGGCCGCGGTCAAGAAAGGTCGCCTCTTTTTCACGGATCATATTCGTTGATATGAGCTGGGAACGTGTCGACCTCAATCCTTACACTCCGCATCCACGCTGAGCAAGGAGAATCTAAGGAATTCTCGAAGACGCCGCATGAAAGTTGTAGGACGGCGCGCGCATTCCGACAAATACATGTAACACAGATGGGGCTTATTATATCCTTGCGACAAATGCGCGGACCGGTTACCAGAAGTCTTCATCGATTGTATCCGTCTTTCGCTTAAAGACGTGGATCTCAGCGGCCCGCTTGTAATCCGCCACGTCCGCGTCATGTGTGGGCAAACCCTCAATTGACTGCGTTGATCGATCGAGGAGGTATGAAAATAAGCTCTCGCGCTTCTTTGCCGATCGCCAGTGCTGATTGACATACGCACTTTCCCCTGTATATTCCTCGGGACTTCGTCGGAATATATATCTGCTGGACCAATGATACCACAATCTAGGCTCTGAGTGAGTAAATCTGGCAAGGATGGCCATGCACCCCTTCGATCGCGATAGAAGCCCGCAAACCCACGCCAAGGTGTCGGACATATCCCACTATCGGAGCCTCGGTGACCTTAATTGCTTCTTTGCGTTTTCGGTGCATGGACAATATCGTTCGACAAAATTTGCTCGCTTCAAGAACTCTCCGAAGAGTTAGCGACGTACATCCGACATCGTAAGGAGAGTAATCTCACTGTCTTGAAACATTGCATGCGCGACGCGGTGATTGTACGATTACTTGCTTTCATACTTGCTGTCGCCGAAACCTTAACCAAAATACTATTTGCACAGTGATATGTACAACGTGGCTATCTGAGATCCCCTTGATTGGAGTCAATTATTATACTTTTTTACATGTGTAAGATATGAGGTGTAACAGATTGCGATGGGAATGAATTATGAGAATGGGAATGGTCTCCAGGACCAATGACAGAGGGCGGGAAAGTTATAACACTACTCTAAAACTGTCTAGAACTCGGCGGTCCTCGGTTGACAGAGGTGCATATGTGGTGGGTCCGCTTGTCGACGGGCCGCTGGAACGGGCGTGAGGTAGAGGAGGCCTGCGAGTGGAGTTTTCTAATGACGATATAGGAGGAAGTGATATTTTCTGGCCGCCTTCCCTGGAAAATGACGAGGGGAGGGAGCGGTGGTGCCTCGGGGGAGACATAGTCATGTAGGATGGTGAGGAAGCTGTCGACGACGTTGGGCTCCCTAGGGCAGTTGGATATTCGTAGGGCGATAACCTGGCAGACTCAGTCGAATCATCGTATACGTCGTTCTCGTCAGAATATTGGGAGAAACGGTCTGCCCTGGTATTCAGGATTTTGCTGTTCAAGAACACTCCATGTGGTACACGGATGTTGCGCAGATAATCGTAGTTCTCGATAACTGGTAGACGAGTGTAATCGTTCCCCTGTTGAAGGGTTTACATAGTTAGACTAGTGCGATCACGTTAATAGAGGATATCTCAAACCCACCGAAAAGTATGCAACAACGTGCCACTTCCGACTTTCGTTCGACCCTGGAAGATGAACAGCAACGGAATATGTTTGTTTAGTGAGCCCATCCGGCTTTGACGGCCTGTCTTTTCGTCGGGTTGGTGTAGGGAGCACAGCCGTAGGGTCAGAAGCTCTCCGGGCTCTTCGGGGAGTTGTCAGGAAAAAAAAAACGATCAAATACTGATGACCGGGACCGACCTCCGAGCAGCTTTAGCGTCGCGTTCTTCCTGTGTTGTCTCCACCTTTTCTTCATAAAAGAGATAGTCTCCCCGCATCCGGCTCTGTGACCTATCATAGACGTTTAGGTCCCATTTCATGGAAATCAAAACCCAGGCCACATACCATCGTCTCCCATCTGTCCACCTCAATAAGCCACCTTCATCCTGTGCCTCCTCCCAAACGTAGACGTGGCCACTGGTGAGCTCGTCCCTTTCACTTGAGAGTAGCCGGCGTTTGATGATGGGGAGGATATTCAGTCTGACTGCTTCCAGGATGATGTGTGCATCATGAGCATCACGGATGTCTATACGCCACAGCTGTGGGACTGGTCTATGCAGTGCAGAAACAATCCCACTTACGAAGAGAGGGATGTGTTACGACACCGTTTCTAATCAGAGACGCAGGCCCTGGGCGACTTGCGGAGGGGAGGAACGACATCTTGGGTGTGAGATCTGGTCAAGTTAAGTTCCACGAAGAGATTTATAGTGCTTGAAATAAGGTGTGCGTGACGATAAGCAGTCCCTGATACCCCCTTTTACGAACCCGGCGAGTTAGCGGAGTCATGGGATAAATTAGGAATCGATCAAATTCGAATATCGAGGGATGACGAAAAAGGGATCTGTGAGTGAACATTCCTGGGCGATTTTGACATCCCGGAAGGCGAAAAATGTGGACTATGGAAGAGCGCTCGGGTCTAGAAAAAAACACGGCGTGACTGATTGAGCATGTGTTTCTTCCGGCATCTACCTATTTGATGCAGGAAATCACTGAGTTTATGGTGCGAAAGGGGAAACAGTTTATGGTAAGTTTTTACCAGCGTTTGTGCCCACCATTCTACCAGAATACAATATTTGTGAGATTTTACCTCAACTTGAATCTTTCCCACATTTCAAAGGATGAGGACGAGTCGAGTGTTGCAGCTCTCAGGCAAAACCTCGGAAGACCGAGGTTTTTCCTTTCTTAGTTACGACGTATTCCTGTTTCTGACATGACTTGGAAAAGTTGTACCGTTGATGGCGACACCTTCACGAAGCTGTATAATTACTCGGCGATTTACGGAAATAAAGGAAGTCTTCTGGACCTCAGTTAATTCGAACAACGCCATTGTAAGGGTTACGGAGGTAATGCCATGGGTCGTGACAGGTATGTTAGCTAGGCCAACTTACCACGACAGCGAGAACGTGCCGGTCGTACCTTTTCTTGACGTTCCGGTTCGTGAGTGCGGTGTGTTCCTGAAAGTTCTATAGAGCTTAGCGTGACTAATAGTGTGAAAAACATAGTGATTTAACTATAAACATGGGCGTGAGTATTGTTCCGCTTGTGGGAGGAAGGTTCTTACTAAATGGGATGGGAGGGTGAAAAGGCACCACTTGCAAGCCACAGACAGAATCAGGCACGCCGTAACTGTGGAGTCCGTGTAAAAAATAATGACGATGGAGAACTATGTCAGACCAAGCCTGCCCACGGACCATCAGCTGATTCTGCCACGAGCCGGAAAGTGAAACAAAACATCTCACCTTGTCTGTAAAACAGCGTTAAATGTTACGAGTCTGTGAGCCCAGAAAAGATCGTGCCTGAAGGCTTCCCGAGGGTGCCTGTGTAGACAAAATATCTATCAACGTCATGACACAACGCGCAGTTGCAGCGGAAATGCTACAAAAATATGGCTGAGACCACTATACAGGGGGTATATCATGTCAAATCTCTCACCTACAGAAAAAGCTTATCGTACAGGTATCTCTCGTGAAGCTACCGAGATAGTGGAGTTCGTGGCATACTGGATGGACGGAATGAGATAGTCAGGGAAATTCATGCCGGAAATAATCCTGGAACCTGAAAACGGTGAAGAAACTTACTTGAGGGTCTGACATGCTTTGTTCGTATCATTTTCACACATTGATCCCAGCAAGTGCGCAAGAGGAACGTTCCTTTGGTACTCTCTCCCTGGCCTGGTTACTGGAATGAGCCTGCACGGTTCGGCTGAATTGGAACCCTGCCAAGGAAATACGTGGGCGAATGGGCAAAGTTAACCCGGGAACCAATTTTGAGCTCGAATGAAGACATTTTGCTCCCCACGCATAGGCCCCCGCTCCACGTCACTCGTAATGCCATGGGCAATTCACGGTGTTGCAATATAAAGACCGGGCTCACGATGACTGGCCGCCACAGATCAACGTAGGAGCAGTGCTACAAGTGGTGTGAAAGAAACGGTGGATTGCAAATCAAATTGACTCGGAATCCGGAAGTGAGGCATCCCTATGTTTGTGTTGGTTAGGGTTAGAACCCATTGCCTTAGGCTCCAGAACAAGGGGAGCTCATCATGAGTACCTTCAATATAAAGTTTGTGTTGTGCGACATAAGCTTCAGAGCTTATGTGGGAGGAGCTATACGAATGAAGATCGCGTTAGTAAATAATTTGGAAAAAGAGCAAAAGATGATGAAAGGGAGATTCGAACTCCCGCCCCCGAAGAGACCAGATGCACAAAGCCTGATTCTGGCGCCTTAGACCGCTCGGCCATTTCACCTTGCAAAGATGCAGGAGGCACGATCAAATATAAGTTTACTTTGAAATTCAAACTTTTTGCATTTTAGCTAGAACATCCCAACTCGACATATTAAACGCAGAAGGGAGGCGAGCCCAAACAGCTTCACGGCCCGCCGTGTGCTGCTCTCGTATATGAAGTATGCACTTTAAACATACATCAAGCTCATCCCATTTGTGGAACGGGGTTAACGGAGCTGGAGAGTCGCGGTTTTCCACGACGCGCCATTGGTGGAGTGGGCGAGTAGATTTAGCACAGAGTAACGATTTGCAGGATGGCGGTGGTCGGAAATCGTAGAGAAATCGGTAGGAGATAAGCTTCTCTAACATTCGAAGCATTTCCCTCCCAACCAGACATACAGTTCTCTCCTCCCACGATAAGTTGATGGAATTCCTATCCAACATTCTCCCTGGAGATATGCGACACGCCGCCACATAATACAAGGAAGGGAGGAATTCTGGAAGGTTGTTTTTATGTGCCAGCCCAATAGCTCGAGCAATGACATTTGGATCCTCGGAGAAGAACATCGACTCGAACTTCGAATCATATGCGTCTAGTGTGGTGGGAATAATGCGTTTTAGGAGGCTGATAGATCTTTCTCTGAATTGAAGGATAAAGTATTTTGTGCTGAGGGATAGAATTCCAGATACGAAATCAAGGGTATCCGCTAATGCCGAATAGTTTGGGAGAGAATCAAAGTAGCTGTGAATCAGAGCCCACAATCAGAAGAATACACCATCACTCAGTCGTGATACACTTACAAGGGGTGATATAGTGCTTTTAGAAGATCCTCGAAATCCGTAACGCAGTCCGTTAAGGTAACTATTGGACAACCTTCGAGTAGTGGTTGGTTGGCAGGCTGCGGCATGCGAAACATGTCCGCGAAGATCTCCGAATGGGCGGCCAGAATAGAACGATGGACCCGAAAGAGTTTCGTTCCAACATGGAGAACAACAGATCCATCGTCATACCAGAACTGCTCGTCTCGAAGGGCGACTTGTTCGTTCTGCAGTTGGGTTTTTTCTTTTGAATACATAGGCGTTCGTGTGAGGGCGGGGTTGTGTTCGTACATCTGGTGAATAGTATGAGCGAACTTGCGAGATTTTGAACCAGTTACATCGTGTAATAGTTGAGGAGGGCATGGTCTACGTTCGTGGTTACCACGTGCAGGTGAAGCAATCTTCACCTCATTTCACAGGACATTGAGGACGCCAGCTGTATACACAGCATCAACCTGAAGCGACCGTACGGTTTACACGTTCAATGAAGAACGGTGATGACGGTTACGAGCCAAACTCAAGGTCAACCCTGGCCATCAGTCGGAAGCTAAATCGGGTACAAGGACTAATATATCGGGTCTCAGCGCCACAAAATTATGTCAAAATTTGAGCTGTAAACTTCAATGTAAGCTCACAAGGAAGCAAACAGTTTCTTTCTGACGATATAAAGGCAACCATACACATTTATTAGTAGGAGGAAAAGTCATGGGATCAGCACATAAAAATAAATCGTTGATGAAAGGGAGGTTCGAACTCCCGCCTCCGAAGAGACCAGATTCAAGTCTATACCTAATTCTGGCGCCTTAGACCACTCGGCCATTTCACCAGCAATATATGACAATCTCCAGATCTACCCATAACTTTCGAGTGGGTGATACGTATCTATTATATTCGATGGCGGGTTGCCGGCGAGCACCAACCCGGAAAATACTTAGGAAATATTATACTTACTTTCGGGAGCTGGGGCCATGATCCCCCCACCTCTCTTGGTAGTATGTTTCCGCACCGAACGTAAAGCTTCGTACGAGCTCCGGGCCCCGAAAGGACGGCCGCTCTATACGTATGGGAGTGACGCGCGAAACCCTCATGTGCAACGCTTGCTTCCAGTCCCACCATAGATATCCGGATCTACCACGCAACGAAGGTGTTCCGGCCGAGTCTTCAACGTGAAATCGCGTTCCACTAACATATGAATTTATGTTAGATTCCAAGACGTATGGTTTAGAGCGGTTACAGCACCGGATCTAAGTAGAGACATATAACAACGAAGCGTATTGATGGTCCTTAAGCAAAAACATGAAACAAAAGTGAAGAATCCACGTGTGACTACATGTGATTACTGGCGTTTGAGGGCTTCACCTTCGATATAGAAAGCGTTTGACGAATTCTTGCATGCTGGATTGGTACTGAATATGGAACAAATTTCCCTGCCGTGTTGAGCGATTAGGGCGTGATCCGGGACCGAAAAAGTGTGGTGTGTCTTGCGAGTAAGGTCTAGCAAGGTCTAATCTCAGCTCCACGATATTGGGACACGATCCATGGGGATGATAACATTGATAAGGCCCGGTCATTGCACATATATATTATAGGATCCTCTTGTGTGATTCATCAAGTATGGCATCTTGTGGCTTATAGCCGCAGTGAGTAAAGCGTACTCTAGTGCTAGTTTGATGATTTGTTGATGATAGCCAAGAAGTTGATGTTTTTGTGACGTGTCAAGTTGGGTCTAGCTACCATGCATTAGTTTAGGCATGACCCGCGAACCTCGCTGAAGTTTGAAATTTAGATCGGGGGCTCTGTATCGAATCGTTTACCGAATCAGAATATGTTGGCACGTCTAGCCTGATGGAAAGATACCTAGCAAAGATACTTGATGAGATGATGGAATGCCATAGAACCACAACCGCTCGGGTGGTGCTCGGCGGCCACGCTGTCCTTCCATGTACGCTTAAAAGGGTATTTCACAAATAACTGTGATGCTAAGCCCTGTGGAGTGGGTGTTAACTGCTTCGGTCTAGCCGCTCTAACCACTATACCCCCATAAATAAGAAACGCATACTCAATTACATACGTTATGACGTTTACAACCAGTGTATTTCGATGCGAACGCCGTAAAATTTTGTTGATTCCGGAGATTCTGCGGAACTGGCAGCTGAGCTGTCAGTATCGCCTGAAACATCTTTTGGGGTGATGAAAGGGTATTCAATTAGAAATACAGTCTGTGGGCGGTGAGTAAGATAGGAGATTGGCCCGAGTGGTGTAAATTGAAGTAAAAGTAGAGTTAAAGGAGAAGGAGCATCGGTAATGACTGCCGTTGTTCCGAACAGACATTAGTGTCACACACATAACGAGAATGAGATTACAGACAACTAATATATATTTGTATTGATAAACAGAACAATAGTACATCAGTAGGGCACTGTCCATGGAGATCCAGTATATGTATGAGTGACAAAGTCTGTGTGTAGTTCGAGCGCGCAATGTCGTCTGTGTACGGGGGAAAATGTAGTGTAGTGTAGCAACAATGAAAACTACAGATGGGTCGTGGTGATGGTGGTGAAAGTGGTGGTGGTGATGGTGGTGGTAATGTACATTGAGATCCACTAAGCGGAAAATGAAAGGAAACAAAAAAAAATAGACAACAGAAGAAAAAAAAAAAAAGGAAGAGGGGTTCTACAACGATGTAGGGTCCAAGGCGTCTGGCTTGAAGCGAAGCCTCGCAAGGAGAACTGTATCCCAAGGGCCGCCGCTATCAGAGACCTTGCTCGCCGAAAGAGAATTCCCAGAGGTAGGTTCATCGTAAGAAGGGCCACCAAGTTCGGGCGGGACTTCCGTGTCAGTAGTAAACATCCCCCACGGTTTATTTGATTTCGGCGATGAGAATACATTGAAATGAACCTGATCAGAAAAGTACAAAGGGTTGAGTTTGGCGTTTAATTAAGAAAAGAAAATGGGATGAATGGAAAACGTACCTGTCCGTCGGGGTGGGTATGACTCACGAACAGGGCGTAGTCTGGGGTGTCAAGCGTCCCTATTACTAAGGTCCAAAAGGATTGTCATGAGCGAACACGTAATAATTAACAGGGATATACAAGGACGCGTACCAAGGAACAAGTCCTCCTTCTGGATTCGGTGCTCGGCTCCGAAGATCTGCATGATGGTGTCCACGTTGGCCTTGAACCATTTCTTAGGCGCCTCAAGGTTCTCGGCATACCGGTACATCGTTGTCTCCGTGCACATGTACGCAGACTTGTGACCGGCCCTCAAAGGAAATGAGTAACGTCGACCAACATTTTGTCTAAAAAAAAGAAAGGTGTCATGAGCACCCCGAGATGTACCCGTTCTAGCGAAAACCAACATACGGGCTATGTCCATCACCTTTACTCTTAAATGTCAACAGACCAACAAAAGCATCTAGTCCCCGCTGCGCAGCGTTTCGCTTATCTTGTCGCTGGCTTCCGGAACTCACTCGCCCATATCCATATACCGACGGCAAGCTTTTCACAGCGGGATTGACACATTTCTCTGGGTTTAATGCATTGAAAAGGGTAACGAACGACCCATCAGGCTTCGACAGGTACCCAACGGCACCCAGGGACACAGGCGAGGGGCCCCAGAGAGGCAAAGTCACTACAAAAGGGGAATAACAAACATGTCAAACCAGAACAAAGAAGTGTGCCACGAAAACACGTACATGAAGGATGGAACTGATGACTCAATAGCATCCTATACCGTCTCTCATTTCTAATCTCCGCGAGCCGCTCGTCAGCAGGAGGTGGCGAGTCGTACCCCTCGTAATTGACCAAATTCAGGTTCTCTTCCGACTGGGTGCTTGGGGTATGCGTGAACAACGACGATGCACGGCTGGAAGCCGCCGAGGGGGTGTAGAATACGGGAACAGGCATACGGATCTGTGAAGAAGAGACCGTCTCTTCCAAGTGGGAGAGATGCGAAGGATGGGGAGGAGAGTGGGACTGTTCCCGTGCAGTACGGAACGAGCTTCCATCTGCATAAGAATCAGGTGAGCCGGCGAGGAAATCTGCGACTGTATCGCGTGCTAGAGAAAAGAAATTAGAGATCGAGACGTTGGCACCAATAGCAAATTGGGACGTACGAGGGGTACCGAACGGGATGGGCAGAGGGCTAGGTCTCATATCCGGCGATGGCCTTGAGTAATACTGTTCCCAAAGCTCAGGGACTTCCTGAATCGTGGGCGAAATAGTCTCCTCGACTTGTCCTATACTCTTCCTCATCACCCTTACATCCTTGACGATAGTTGCGAACGGGGGCCGAACTGCAGGATCATTGTGCCAGCATAACCGGAGGAGCTCCTGGAGGGCTGGAGTATTGAAACGAGTGTTGGGGATCGGGGGACGGCTGTTTTCCTCTATGGTGAACTGGGGATCAGCTGTCGGTAAAGCAGAACAGAGAATGTGAGAACGTACTAAGAACGAAGTGGCGAACGGCCTCATCGTCCATGAGTGCCCAGGGCATCCGTCCCATGGTCAGGATCTCGATGCACAAGATTGCATAGGCATAGACGTCCATCTCAGCTGTGAGCTGGCACAAACCCGACATCAGCTCCGGCGCTTGCCACCGAAGAGTCCCATCTGCAAGAAACATTGAACTTAGTAGGCCAACACATATACGAATATCGAAATGGCGCACGAGGTGGTGGCGTCCCACTAATCCTATACGCCTCCGACTTCATCTCACTCTGCCCAAAGTCCGAAATGACACATCGGAGCTTGTCATCCACTAGGACATTCGCAGCCTACAAAGAACTCAAGTCAACAAAACACCAAAACACAACACGCGAAAAGATAAACCTTCAGATCACCATGCAACACCCCATTCTGATGCAAATACTCCATCCCCTTCGCGATCTCCTGCATGAACCTATACAGATCAGCCTCCCTAGACACAGGCTCATCGGGGCTCCTCCCTCTCCTCCCCACAATCCCCTCACGTCTCGGACTCCCTCCAGGGCTCCTACTCCACACAGGAAAAGTCGCCGTCCGCCCTCTCACAGGCACCCCACCAGACTGACCTCCACCCATCGCAAACTCCAACCCAAGCCCAACACCCCCATTCCCATTCCCACCCCCGCCCGACAACTTCTTCAAGTACTCCACCAAGCTCCCGTTCTTCAGGTACGGACTAACAAAGAACCACGGTGGGTCCCCAGACGCACTGCTCGCTCCACAGAGCTCGAGGACATGCGGGTGCTTGAGCGTCTTCCAAATGGAGATCTCCCGAACGAAGAGGTCTCGGGGCGTCGATTCTGCGAGTACCTTGATCGCCACCGCCCGGCCTCGCCACTTCCCCTTGTAGACATCGGAGAAGAAGCCGATCCCGATCTTCTGCTCTCGGTCACATTCGTACCTGGAAAGGCGAAGGATGAACGATAAGATTACGATCAGAGAAGATGAGTAAAATACTGACCTGGTGATCGTCCAACTTGGTAAAGTCGTTTCGACCCCATTGCTCATCCTCCGTAACGCCTCAATCCCAGTCTCCAAGAACTCCTGGTCGAGGGTGTCACGGCCCCAGCTATCCCCACTCCCCGCGCTCTGACTGCTCTCCGAATCCTGCAGGCTAACCACGGTCTTCGAGTGCTGCAAACTCCCCTCTCCTACATCCACCCTCTTCACACTAACCCGCCTCAGTACCTTCCCATCGCCCTCCACGACTCCCGCACCAGCTCCCACCACGGGTTCACTCATAGCCGCCTTCGCATTCACCCGCTCTAACGCCCGCTGAAGCGTCTTGAGCGCCTCAGGCATCTCTTCCTTTCCAATTTGGAGTACATGAAGCATCTCAGCA